TCTTATGGTTGACCACACCATGGTATCGTAGATTTATGTATAAACCTTGTATGGAAGCCCTCCGGCGGCTTTGAATCAAGAGACAAGTTTCAAGTTTTTCAAGTTTTATTATATCCAAATGCAATACAGCATATAGGTTCCAAACATAATTAAATATTCAAAATTCATATGTGATGTACAAGATGGCGGAGGACAATTCCATTCAAATATATATATATGTCTACAGACATGTCATAATGATATCACGTGCAGTTTTACAGCATGATTTTTCGTAAAGTATTGAAAAGGACAGTATATAACATTTCATATGTGTGACGTTACTACATGTATATATGTGACGTCATGAAAGGATGACATCATAATGAAAACACTACATATAACTTCAAACAGCCAGAAAGAACCATGGGATGTCATTAAAGCACTATTTAACGCGCTATTAACGAATGTTAAATAACTATTATTATACATATACACTTATAACAAAGTAGTTTCAAATAATATTTTAACATAATATCACTACTGAGAGAGGAGAATTGCTGTAAGTAATCCTAAAGCACGGCTAGTGGGTTGAGCTACACACTTGGCCGTTATCGCGTAATCTAGCCGTACCTGTCACAGAAACCAATGTCCAGATCACCACATAAAGGATCTTACATGAGTTTCCATTTCATATGAGATTTATGAAACGAGTCTAAGAATTTTTCAATTTAGCGAGCCTCTGGCTAAAATGAATAATTCGTGACGAGTTTCATAAATTTCATATGAAATGAAAACGAGTGTAAGATCCTTTTTGTCACATAATCAAGATTTGTGACATTTATCCGTGTAAAACGACAATTGTCATCCTTTTACAATTTTCATGCAACCTTGAAATGTAAAACAAAACGCCATTTTGACTCCAGTGCGTAAGTCTGTGGCGTCATGTACTTGTCCTAGTCGTGACGTCACAATTGAAGCAATTGAAACTTACAACCAATCACAGGACTGATAGGTCATATTACATGGGTTAAATACGCAAAACATATGACTTGTGTATATTCACTGGATAACACAGTACATTATGTGATAAAATGAAATAAATACTGAGACCGGGCGGTAGCCGAATTCAGGAAATGCACAACTTTCGTTTTAATTCCGTTGACAACCATACGATTAGTTAGACACCAGTCTGACAGTAAAAACAATGTGGGAAAAACAGGAAAAAAAAGAAAATCGACCAAATACAAGTCAGTGAAGAGATAAGTTCCCATTCAAAATACCAACTTAAGAATGTATAAATCTTTTTTTGTGGCAGGATTGAATTTTATCAAATTTATTTGTAATGTTGTATAATAATTGTTGTATAATGATATGTCCGGTATAGAGGTCAGTAGTGTGACGTCAGTATACATCTATTATCTGATTGGCTATTGGGTTGGCGCGCGATACCTTTGTATGACTAGGTAGACGAGAGAGCGACGACAACGACAACACAATAAGTGAGGTATAAACTCGATTTCTCGATTTACAAACTAACCTGTCGATCTTCTCTATTTGTCCCTTCTCTTGTCCGACGTGCGGTATTTCCCGTCAGCAGTATCTGATATTATATGTACGGTATTTTATATTATTTTAAATAAAACATGTATGTGTGAGTACGCAGGGTTTACCTGAGTGACCGCCATTACACCGGCCGGTACGGTTGTGTTTATATTCCATATCTTATTATTTGTATCATTTATGTTTACAGACTTGAATATGTGTACAGACTAATACATGCGATGGACATATTGTAAAGCCTTCTGCCACACAGAGATGATTATTTCATTATAAGTCATTCAAATCCCAATATGTATATATGGCTCATTCTCCGAACACCAACTCTGGAGAATTGAAAGGAATGTGCTTATAAAGGAAATCCTTTGAAGTTTAGTTATAGCCTGTTTCAACTAAGAAGGTCAACTCATTTTGTAGATATGATTCTAAAGTCATTAATAAAATGGATAAAAGGTTTTTATTTCCTACATATAACTGTAATATACATTTAATACAGCACTAAGTAATAGAAAATAATCATTAAATATTAATTTTTATATTATATGAAAAAGAAAAATAACATTACATTATATGAAAAACAAAATTCCTTAATTTAAGCCTCATTGATACTATTGTCAGGAATAAAATACAGTTTCTATTCCTACATATACAGTAATACACATTTAATACAGCACTAAAAGATAGCGATTTATTTTTGCATTTTGCAATGATAAGAGATTTAAGAACAGTTATTCTCCCTTTAGGTATTTAAATTCTTCTTGACCATTGATGTAACTTGCCATCTATAATACTAATAATTTTGTTGAAATTTACGGTAACCGTGTCTTCTAAATTGACAGAGAAATCAATCCCAAGTAAGGTAATTTGGCTGTGCCCCATTTTAGTTTCCACCTTCGATGGTATACATCAGCACTAAAGTTTTTGCTACCTATCCAAGTGACATTTGGGTTATTTTAGTATTTACTTTTAACCCTGATATTTTAGCATATTTATCATATAAAGATTTTGTGCCATTTAAAATAACGGATGTGTCATCAGCGAACTGTGAGAGCCTATGTTCTTTGTTATTTATGTTTATGCCCTAAAGTTTTTATTATTTGTTACCATGATAGCTAATATTTCAGCTACCAAAAGAAATAATGAAGATGATACCGGATCCCCTTGTCTACAGACCCTTTTTATGCCTACAAAGTTGGATAAAAAACATTCTGTATGATAGCCGATGAAGTATTTGTATTAAAACATAACAGATAATAATATCAAACTGAAGTCACACAAGATTAACACAATTCATAGAAATCTGAAAATAAGTACAAGTTTAACTAATATATGACAATAATTATAAGAGAATTCACACAAATCTGAAAATACAAGTTTAACTAATATATCATAATAAATATATGACTGATTCTGAAAACTGTTCTAAATATTAATTATTATTTTGCAATTATTAGCAGTTATTGATTATCTGATTACTTATCAGAAGTTGACTAACCTGTGCAATTTACCTGTACACCATTTCTGCAATAGACTATATAACTCACTATCTGTGATTTTGAGCAGAGTTGGTGTTCAGAGAAGACCCCNTGTCCTATTTCCAATTAGTATTTGTTATTATATGATCCCCGGTTAAACGTACGTATTTTACAGCTAAGTGTTACTTGTCAGATTGTATCTGTTATATATGTATCGATAGCGTTTTATGTATGTGTAGTAAAGTATTATATGTTTGTATCGTTGCAGGGTAAGATTTACCTACAATATATCACTGGTTCGGTATCAAAACGTCGAGCTTGGGTTGTTCATTCACCTCCAAATACCCCTTGATTTCAATCATTGTACAACCTAGTCTAATTGTGGCATCATCTATATTACCATGTCACTTAAATTTTCTTTTATATGTTTTAAAGCACCAGATTTGACACATGTTTAAGATCAAGCTTGGGTGATTTTTTTCTGTTTTTTTTTCTGTTTTTTTACATTGTAACTGAACTGCCAGACACATGTACCGCTCTTATCGGCATACTGTGACGTGGTTTTTTTCTATATCTGAAGTGATGTTATTTATAATATTATGGTTACTCGGAAATGACACGTGTGTTTGTAACATTACAACATTACATTAAAATGTTCAGTATGTGTATTGAGTTTAAGTTCAGTAGAAATGTAAATATATATGTATAGGGTGACATATTAAATGTCAGGTAAACGTGAGACTTCTTTTATAATATGGTATGTTCTATAAATAAGTTCTTCGATAAAGATATCTCACAAATGCTTAGTTATATCTTATATAGATATTTGAAAATATGTAATATAAAGTATAAGAAACACCATTATCATTTCATTCGTCAACAAATGTTTACTTGCAATACGAATCAGTCAAATACATTCTTGGGTTTTTTTCTCTCTCAAAAACAACACCTGAATGAAGACGCCAGGCAACAGCTGATCTTCCTAACTAATGGTGCAATATGGGGCTTCGTAGTACTGTGTTCAATCTTAATCACTATTGTCTCCTTGTCCTTTCCCAGCCACTGTCAAGTACCAAATGAAAAGAGCATTTAAAACAAAACAAAAACGTGGTTCGGTTGATTAGTTTTGTCGACATGACGCCTGACATCCCTCTTTAAATTAGTTAAATCATCGACTCATTGCTCGTTCTTCTAAGGTAAAACCGACGATACACCCTCTGAAATAAGGACATTGATTACAGCACTTTGATTTCTCTCGTGCGATTATGAAAAGCCGAATAACATTGAATACAGGTGTAAGCTACAACAGCTAAACTCTATATGGCAGAACCAGTACCGACCGATCCCTATACCATGAAGCTAGATATGTAAATATGTGAATTTAACATTCAAGTAATTAAACACGTGGAATAGGACCTTCTTAAGCCAAGCATGATACTTAAAGATAGAGTAATGTGTATCAACCATGTTACAAGAACACCAAAAATTACCAAAAATACACAAGAATGGGATTACATGGAAAACTTGAAACTACGTTACTGTTTTGTATAGATACAGCTGATGAAAATGGTATATTATATGAAAAAATGTCTAAAAATGATGAAAATAGACTATATCAAAGCTACATGTATATGACAGTACTGTAAACACAGGTAAAAACCAGGTAAATATATATATGAAATAGACTATAACTGCTATCACAACATTACTGCCTCTTAAAAAGTGGGAGATAGGAGAACACACCATATTATGTACAGAACAAGTAGGATTAATATCGACGTGCTCGAGTGATTCTGTAGACGTCGATTTCTAAATATTATATACCAATCATACTTCAATTGTAAGCTGCTTATAACACCACACTGGCGTTCCTATCAATAGTAAATACCACGAGAACGTTTAATACTCAGTCATGTTAAAATCACCTGAGTTCAATATGAGCCTTGACTATGACTATCTTCATTTAACTTATGTGTTTTTTAAAATTCATCCAATGAATGTCGCTAGGGCTCACTGAAGCAGAAAAAACGAACGCATTCAGGACGCCGTTGAATGCGTTCGACACACGTTGATCCCTCATATTTCCATGTTACTAGGAATTGTTTCCACTCAGGAACAGAAAGGTTATATACTAACTAACGGACATGAACCAGGACCGGAAGTTGTAAGTCTCTGTTCCAGCGACACGTATGTACCCGTAGTACATACCATATAGCACAGCTCGGGAACACACGTACAAATGGAAATCACCTGTAATCATGGAGGTAGGTCACCTGTTTTCATGAAAGTAAGACACCCATTATCATCAAGGTAGGTATGAGAGATCACGTGCATGTAGGTATGACAAACCTCGTGAAAACAAGGAAATAGCTATGATAGATCACGTTAAAGCAAGTAAATATACAGTGAGTATGAGGAAGCATGTGTAGCAGGACGAGGCAAAATGATCCCGATAGTGCCGACGCTTGGGTTCGAACCTGCGTCACTTGACACTTGGCTCTCCAGCCCGATGCTTTACCGCTGACACTTGTAAGGCAACCTACTCAATACAGATCTTTTACACTACCCCCCCNTTGTATTAAGACGAGGGAACTGTATTGCTTTAGATATGTTAATAGCAGAAACAGAGGTAACTTTAATAACACTATATGGTCCAAATATAGATAGGCCACACTTTTATGAACAAATAGTAGATGCTATTAATGAGTATAACAATGAATATTTTATTGTATGTGATGATTTTAATTTAGTTCTGAATCCTGATTAAGACTATGATCAAAATTATAGACAAATAAATAATCCAAAGGCTAGGGATAAGAATAATAAGGAGGTACACATGGAGAAAAACTAACCCTATAGAACAAGCTCCTCTTGATTTCTTTTTAATATCTGACAATCTGGTAAGAAATGTACAAAAATGTAACATAGAGACTGGCTATCAATCAGATCATTCCTCACTTTTATATCATTTAAGTTTTATGAGTTCAAAAAAGGAAAGGGTCTTTGGAAATTTAACAATTCATTACTGCATGACTTAGAATATCTTAATTTAATAAATGAGTTTATTTCTGAAGTTAAATTACAGTACGCTCTTCCTGTGTCCAATTTTGAGTATCTAAATATTATCTCTGACAATGAAATTCAATTTCAAATTAATGATAAACTTTTTTTAGAGACATTATTATTTGAAATTAGGGGATAAACAATATCGTATTCATCTGACAAGAAAAAGCAGCAAAATATACAAATGAAGCATATTATTGAAGCAATTAATTCTCTAGAAGCCAATGGCAGTATAGATTTTAATCAAGTAAAAGAAAAAAAGAAGGAATAAGAAAGAATTAGGCAACATAAAATGAAGGGAAATATTATTCGATCAAAAGCTAAATGGGTTGAAGAGGGAGAAAAACCAACAAAATATTTTTTTAATCTAGAAAATAGAAATTTTACTTCGAAAATTATTCCAATGTTAAAAAAAAGGAAATGGGGAAATTATTAGAAAACAGGGAGATATTTTAAAAGAAGTCATACTATTTTATGAACATTTATATTCAAGTAATAGTAATATTGAAGATGTTAATCTAGATGCATTTTTAAATACCTATAACAATAATGTTCCTAAACGAGATAAAACAGAATCATCATTATTAGAGGGTAACATTTCATTAGACGAAGCCTCAAATACTTTAAAAAATATGTAAAATGATAAAAGTCCTGGGTCAGATGGTTTTATAGCTGAATTTTTTAAATGTTTCTGGAGGAAATTAAGTCATTTTATAATAAGGTCATCAATTACGGATTTATGAATGGAAAATTATCTATAACTCAAAGACAGGGTATAATTACATGTCTACCCAAGGGAGACAAACCCAGGCAGTTTTTAAAGAATTGGAGGCCAATTTCATTACTAAACATAATATATAAAATAGCATCTGGTTCAATAGCAGATTGAATAAAAAAAGTTTTAGATAAATTAATAAATAGGGATCAGACTGGTTTTATTGCAGGGAGGTATATAGGGGAAAATACAAGGCTAATTTATGATATCATGCAGTATGCAGAAGAAAATGAAATTCCTGGTATGCTTTTTATAATAGACTTTGAAAAGGCTTTTGACTCTGTTAGTTGGGATTTTATAAACACATTTTTTTTTTTTTTAATTTTGGGAATGATATATGTAGGTGGATAAAAAATATATATACTAATGCAATCTATTCTATTAATCAGGGAGGCAATCTTCCAACTTCTTCCGAAATAAAGAGGGGCTGTCGTCAGGGCGATCCAATCGCACCTTATATATTTATTCTATGTGTAGAATTACTTGCTATAAGATTTAGACTTAATAAGAATACTAAAGGTATTAATGTAGATAATGTTCCTGTTTTATTATCTCAGTATGCAGATGATACCTCAATTATATTAGATGGTACAAAAAGATCTATGACAGAATCATTTAATGAATTAAACAGTTTTGCAAACATTTCTGGATTAAAAGTAAATAAAAGTAAAACACAAGTTGTTTGGATTGGCAGTAAAAAATATAATACTGATACTTACTTTCCAGAGTGGAACTTACAATGGGGAATTACAAAATTTACAGTTTTAGGCATTGAATTTAATGTGGATTTGCACCAAATTCCAAAACTAAACTATGATAGAAAAAAATAGTAAAGCTCAAGGCATTAATTAAAATATGGAATAGAAGGATTTTAACACCAATAGGAAAAATTAATATTATAAAGTCCCTTCTTATATCACAGTTTAATCATCTTTTTCATTTCTTTACCAAATCCAGAAGAATGCTTTATTAAAAAACTGAATACTGAACTTTATAATTTTTTATGGAACAGCAATTCAGATAAAATAAAAAAAGAGACATTGTTATTAGAATTATCTGGAAGGGGGACTCAAAATGCTACATTTACAATCATTTATAGAATCTGTAAAATTAACCTGGATTAGGAGACTATATACAACAGAAGGAAAGTGGCATATTTTTTTTAAGTTATATGGAAATAGAAATATTAAAGCTAATTGTGGTACTGATTATATGCTAAAATGCCAGAAGAGTTGTAAAAATTTATTTTGGAAGGTGTGCTATTAAGTTGGTGCAAGCTAGCTGAAAAGATTGTAAATTTTGGAACCAAAAAGGTAAATATTCTCAAATCACCCATTTGGTATAATAAATCAATAAAAATACAAAACAAGAGTATATGTTATAGGGAATGGTATAGGAACGGGGTAACAATAGTTTATGACTTAATTAAATAAAGAAGAAATAAATTGTTTTACAGCCATCAAGAGTTTACAGAGAAATTTGACATTCATACAGATTTTCTTACTTATCAAGTGTCATTAATTCCATAAAGAAATCCATTTCACAGGAGGATATTTCTAATTTGAATGTAGATTATCCATATATCCCAATTAATTTGTAAAAAAAATTAAACACTAAAAAGGAACTAAAGACTTTTACCATGTTCTATGCCAAAATAATACAATATCTACCCATAGAAAGAAGTGGGAGGAAATATTTGAATTTAACACAGAGATATGGAAGAAAACATATACGATTCCCTTCAAAATTAGTAAAAACACAAAACTACAGTGGCTTCATTTTAGAATCAATCAACATATTTTAACTACTAATTCATATCTTTATAAAATAGGTCTTGTTAATAGTCCATATTGTTTTCATTGTAAAACTGACACAAAAACTATAGTTCATGATTATGGGAATGTAAAGAAGTATAAGTGTTTTTAACAGATTTTGAATCATTGCTAGATGTTTTATTAATTCCATTTGCTTTTAATAAAGAATCTTTTATCTTTGGTTTCTATAATAGAAAAAAACAATGTTGATAATTTAGTACTTCTTATCATTAAACTATATATTTATAAGGCTAAATGACTGCAAACTGGTCTATCAGTTTAAGCTTTGAAAAACCTAATTAAAGATATTTACAATACTCAAAAATACATTGCTATAGGTAATGGTGAAAATTATCTCACTAATTTTAAAAGGGAATGGAAAAAATGAGAAAGATTACTGCAGGCCATATAACTGAAATATAAATTAATTATAATAATATAGTACCAATGTAATTCCTGTTAAAGTAGTCTATGTACAAAAATGTACACAAAATTGAACAATAAGCCCTTGTCAAATCCTTCAACACCTCTCCAACCTTCCTTTTCTTTCTTGTCCCTCTCTCTCTTTATTACTTTTTTCTTTCCTATATCTTCTTCTAAAACAGTACAATGGTACATAACACCTACTATCCTGGGTTCAGCATGTGAAAATAGTCAAACTGTTGTTTTTTGGGGGGGGTTTTGTATTTGTTTGCTTCTCAACTACAATGCATGTAATATTATTCTATGTATCTTGTTTCAAACTTATAAAGAAAATAATTGTTTTTCTGCATTGGTATCCAAATTGATGTAATAATATAATAATGTTAAAAATGTGTCAAGACAAACAAAAAACTTGTGTGAAAATTAAGAATGTGAGACTGAAATATGATGTGTTATGTTTAATGTACTGTTGAAAAAAATCAAAAATATAGAAATATCAAAAAAGACGAGGATGGTGAGATAAAGACAAGTTCACTACCGATATCGCGTGTACGGTAACCTAATCAAAGCATATCTTAAAAACATGACAGAAAAATGATAGATCATGTGTAAAAATATAGATATCAGAGATCTCGTGTAAATAAGGAGGTAGGTCTTATAGATCACGTGTAAACAATGAGGTAGGTATAAGAGATCACGTGTAAACAAGGAGGTAGATATGAGAGATCACGTGTAAACAAGGAGGTAGATATGAGAGATCACGTGTAAACAATGAGGTAGATATAAGAGATCACGTGTAAACAATAAGGTAGGTATAAGAGAGCACGTGTAAACAAGGGGTAATATATGAGAGATCACGTGTAAACAATGAGGTAGGTACAAGAGAGCACGTGTAAACAAGGGGTAAGATATGAGATATCGCGTGTAAACAAGGAGGTAGATATGAGAGATCACGTGTAAACAAGGAGGTAGATATCAGAGATCACGTGTAAACAAGGAGGTAGATTTGAGAGATCACGTGTAAAAAATGAGGTAGGTATAAGAGATCACGTGTAAACAAGGAGGTAGATATGAGAGATCACGTGAAAACAATGAGGTAGGTACAAGAGAGCACGTGTAAACAAGGGGAAGATATGAGAGATCACGAGTAAACAATGAGGTAGATATGAGAGATCACGAGTAAACAATGAGGTAGATATGAGCGATCACGTGTAAACAATGAGGTAGATATGAGAGATCACGTGTAAACAAGGGGTAAGATATGGGAGATCACGAGTAAACAATGAGGTAGATATGAGAGATCATGTGTAAACAATGAGGTAGATATGAGAGATCACGAGTAAACAATGAGGTAGATATGAGCGATCACGTGTAAACAATGAGGTAGATATGAGAGATCACGTGTAAACAAGGGGTAAGATATGAGAGATCACGAGTAAACAAGGAGGTATTTATTTGATGTTAACTGTTTTGTCGACCAGCAGTGAGACGTATATATCAGTTTGTCTTGAGGGTAACTGAACCTAGATGTATTCTTGTCCCTTGTACACCCGGAGAAATCAGTCGGTTGTATCGCTGATCTGTTTGCTTCTATATGAAGACGTTTGATATCGCCGTGGTTCATTTTGGGTACTGTTGAGCAACAGACCGCATCAACATTTCAATTTCATTTTTAAATTACTCGAAAGCACAAACGAGAGGTAGGATATGGACGGTTTGTAGCTTGATAGTTGCTAGATAGTTTATGTGACACGCCCTCACGGAATGTATCGTTAACACCTGTAAAACATATACTGATGATATCTTTTAATTGGTTTGGTAAAATAACATTTCTAAAACGGACAGGAACGGAAGGATAAAAAAACCCATTAACATTGTGAAAAATACGATCAGTGTGTTGTTGGCAAATGCACATTGCTATGTCTGCCACTGGACTTTTAAAAGGACATTCATACAAAACAAATCCTGTTTTGTCGTTTAAAAATGGATTTAAATTGCATTCATCTACTCTGATGGAAAAACCTCAGTATTTTTTTAAATTATAAATTTGAGTTTATAGACTAAAACGAGTTGTCTTTTGCTTCAGACATTATGAAACAAATAAGAAGAAAATAAACCTTAAGTTTTAATCAATGTAGCACTCTAAAAGCCACGAAATGGCAACACAGAGCTACTTGGTATCATTTTTTTCCAGGGATAGGGAGGCTCCCTAAAATAGCTAGGATGGCTAAGCGCCTGACATCTGAGTAGGTTCAATTTTCTATTTGAATATGTTGCTAAAACATAACTAACAAAGAGAAAAATGATTTTTTTTTATTATTCGCACATGAATGTCTTGTCAAAATATCTGTAGCAGGACCCATTGCCAAATAATAATAAAAATGATGGTAAGTGGGGGCTTAAACGTTGGAATATGACAAAATAGAAATCGTTTGGTAGAAGTAACCAACTTATAAACGCAAAAGTGAACCTACCCGCTAGAAAAGGATCGAATAAAAGAGAACCTACCCGTTTCATAAGTAAACCTACCGATTCATAAGAGAACCTACCCGATTCATAAGAGAACCTACCCCATTCATAAGAGAACCTATCCCATTTATAAGAGAACCTACCGATTCATAAGAGAACCTACACCATTTATAGGAGAACCTACCCCATTCATAAGAGAACCTATCCCATTAATAAGAGAACCTATCCCATTAATAAGAGAACCTATCCCATTCAAAAGAGAACCTACCCCATTCATAAGAGAACCTATCCCATTTATAAGAGAACCTACCGATTCATAAGAGAACCTACACCATTTATAAGAGAACCTACCCCATTCATAAGAGAACCCATCCCATTTATAAGAGAACCTACCCCATTCATAAGAGAACCTATCCCATTAATAAGAGAACCTATCCCATTCAAAAGAGAACCTACCCCATTCCAAAGCGAACTCGTTAAAAGATTATTTACCTGAATGGAAAGAAAACTTACTCGAAAGAAATATCTGTATGAAGATAGCTTTAAAATATGTGGTTACAAGCCTGATTGCTTCAACATATAATTAATTAGCTGTTTAGCAAAAACCAAAAATGTATTCCTTCCGTCTGCCAAGTATGAGACAAATGAAACGATGGATCTTAAAAACGACCTTAAGGATCCCCGTGCCCCTACCAAAAACTGTAACCTCATATTGGTAACTGTTTTACGGCAAGACTCTAGAACCCTGTATTTCAGATTGTTATCGATCTTACCGACTGAGATACGTCATCGGAGGTGTTCTGGCGCGACTGCGCTACCGTTCTATCATAACAGAATTAAGGGAAAAGTACTTTATATATATAGATAATCAATTGCACAGGGAGGGAGCTCCTTACAGTTCTGCCGAAAAAATATGTATTAGAATATCACCTTACACGTGGATGCAAGGCGTTGTTTTATGATTAACAGGTAATCCGGTTAATGGCACAGGTGGGACCAAACGGGTACTAATTATCTTCGCTCACCAAGACCGGAAGTCCTTTAATGGAGAGCTTCTGAACGTGGCTACGCACGAGCTCGAAAGTCAAGGCCACACGATAGAAATATCGGACCTGTATTTACAAGACTTCAACCCAATCGCCACAAAATGTGATATTTCAGGTAACACGATATCTGTATGTTTATATCATATGTGTAAGAGTGTTTTAAAATAAGTTGTAATGGTTATGGAATGTTACTTTTGGAATCTATGATGACAATTTTACAAAAGTTCTGATAGGTTGATATCCCGATTTAACAATTCCTAACGAGGCTTCATTACAAATGGACACAGCGTCATAGTATATGTTCATGGTGGTGTTGCTAAGGCATATTAACCCTACGGAAACATACACACAAATTAATCAATCTTAGAAATAGTTGTCATATCATATATTTTTAGGAAATTTAAATGATAAGAGGGTTCGTAACAACACCGACGGAGGGAAACATTGCTGTGACGAAGGTGAAATTTCACCGGAGATCCGGTCCGAGATGACTAAACTCGAGGCCGCAGATCTCGTGATATTTCAGTTTCCGATGTATTGGTCTTCTACTCCTGCTATTCTGAAGGGCTGGTTCGATCGTGTTTTGCAGGACGGATTTGCTTTTAATTTCGAAAAACAACAGATATTAGACAACGGACTGATGGCGGTAGGTATACAAAGTCCAGCAGCACCGGGAATGATCGGGTCAGAATGAGGCTCTATGTCAAGGTCAAGAGCATGGTTAGATACAAGTTTTATTATTTGGATAGATAGTTATGATTTATGTCAGTGTTACAGTAATGTTGGCATCAAGGTCAAGGTTAGAGGTCACCTATGGTCACATTTAGGGTCTATTATATGTTAGGGTTCGTACGGTTGAGATTAGAAAAACTAGACTCAAAGGATCACATCAATTTCAAAACAAATATTTTCAATTTAAAATATTTTTGCCCAGCCTAATTTTAAACTTAAATTGCTTCGTGATTATTTTTTGTAGAGAGGCTTTCGGTAGTGGGCTTTCGACTATTATATATAACCAATACTGCTCTGTTGGACAATATTTGTCTTTGAGTTAATCAGATTAATCCGAAAAAAATGCATTTGGTTTATAAGGTTCGCCTACAGCGCTTAAGCTTCGATTGGTTATATACATGTGATGAAAAAAGTTTGGAAAAACAAAATGGATGCTTTCAGACAAAAAGAAGAACTTAAACAAATATGAATCGCTTATTAGATATTTTCAATTAAATATCCGAATGAGTTTGGTTCTAGTTACAGAGGTTACATCCGGGTTATTGTGAATGTCTTTGTTACCAGGGGAAGACGGCGTTACTATCCGTTACGACCGGGGGGAGTCGGTCAATGCTGTCTGACCTCGGAGTGTCCGGAGACATAAATGTCCTCCTCTGGCCAATACAGGTGAGTGACCACTAACCAGTCTTTGCTGTTTGCCAATTCACTTACAATGAACCTGTACATATAATTTAAGTCGGTATGTTAGTTATTCAACTACACGCTGATATGAATAGTGTTGAAAGGACATTAAGTTTAAGAATATTGACCAATTACCATTGAAATCAAAAATATCCTTTGCTCGTCGATACATCAAAGTAGAGTGTGTCGCTCTTTTAAGATATTTAAATTTCACGTCATATGTCGTAATTCTAGTTGACACCACGCTGGCTTGGTTTAACATTGACGTGTTGTGGAATGACGTGTTTGTCGTTGTAGTATGGAGTATTACGTATCTATAGAATGAAGTGTTTGTCGCATGTAAGTCGTTGTAGTATGGAGTATTACGTATCTGTAGAATGACATGTAAGTCGTTGTAGTATGGAGTATTACGTACCTGTAGAATGACATGTTTATCGTTGTAGTAATGAGTATTACGTATCTGTAGAATGCCGTGTTTATCGTTGTAGTAATGAGGATTACGTATCTGTAGAATGACCTGTTTGTCGTTGTAGTATGGAGAATTACGTACCTGTAGAATGACATGAAAGTCGTTGTAGTATGGAGTATTCCGTACCTGTAGAATGACATGTAAGCCGTTGGAGTATGGAGTATTACGTATCTATAGAATGACGTGTTTGTCCCATGTAAGTCGTTGTAGTATGGAGCATTACGTATCTATAGAATGACGTGTTTGTCCCATGTAAGTCGTTGTAGTATGGAGTATTCCGTACCTGTAGAATGACATGTTTGTCGTTGTAGTATGGAGTATTACGTATCTGTAGAATGACGTGTTTGTCTTTGTATTATGGAGCATTACGTATCTATAGAATGACGTGTTTGTCGTTGTAGTATGGAGTATTACGTACCTGTAGAATGACATGTTTGTCGTTGTAGTATGGAGTATTACGTATGTGTAGAATGTCGTGTTTGTCGTTGTAGTATGGAGTATTGCGTATCTGTAGAATGACATGTTTGTCGTTGCAGTATGGAGTATTACGTATCTTAAGAATGACATGTTTGTCGTTGTAGTATGGAGCATTACGTATCTATAGAATGACGTGTTTGTCGTTGTAGTATGCAGTATTACGTATCTTAAGAATGACATGTTTGTCGTTGTAGTATGGAGTATTCCGTATCTGTAGAATGACGTGTTTGTCGTTGTAGTATGGAGTATTACGGATCTGTGGATTCAACGTTCTTTCTCCCCAACTGTCGCATGGGTTGCCGTTAATTGCGGAATCCACACGCACAGATTATCTATCTGAGTGGCGGAAACGACTACAAAAAATTTGGACGGAAGTCCCACTATCCTTCCCGGCATGCTCTGACTATGATTCAACCACATTGACTCTCACCAAAGACTTTATGGATAGAACTAAACAATCAGAATGTTCGCCTTCTATAGGACATCACATGAACAAACCTCTACCCCCACAAAAGTGTAGTTATACGTCGGGGACATCTATGAACGTTTAATCAACGTTATAGTATAGATCATGTAATTTAAGTTGTGGTATATATTATCCACCAAGACACTGACATCTGTCATCTAATGCCGGTAATGAGTTATCATTATGAACATTACAAAACGTTACCTTTTAATTCCACACCTTTCAAACCTTATTCCATTTGGTGACGTAAGTTTCCTGTTTATTATTATTATATTTTACAATATTTTTTTAAATAAAAAAAACAATTGTCTATTTTGTCTATTTTATTTTGTGTAAAGAGCTATGGTGGTATTTCCCCAAAGCTGAGACCGCTGTGCCACCGTGTACTGTTATGACGCGTCCTCGGGTATTTTTTATACAGGTAGCTCTATCAGAATCTTGTGTCTAAGATTCAAGGCTACGTCTATCGATACATGTCTTTGGTTTAAACAATATTTATTACTTATATTCATTTACAATACAATACAATCACATCAATTGAAAGGATCTGGCCACAAGATATAAAATCTTATGTTAGGCCATCTCCTTCAGGTAACATTTAACAAAGATTTATATTCTCTGACTGACCATAATTGTCTAACATATATAACACACATTTTAATCTAATTAATAAGAAAGAAAGAAATGAGAAATAAAGAGTTAAATTATTAAGAGAGAAAGAAGATAGAGATTTAGAAATTTGAGAGAGTGATAAGATTCCACATCAACACCTAGAATCTGCCTGATGCCATAATGTACCTCTGGAATTGATTAAAAATTTCGATATTTTCTATTTGAGACAAATTTGGGTCACCTTGAAGCAATATCCCAATACATGTCTTTCACGATACAGACTCAACAAAATGCTTATTTCGCGTTATTTCTATGAATTTAAAACAAATAAGATGGTGTATGTAACACAAGATCGTACAATCATTACCAACAAGTTTTGAAAGGATTTAATTTTCCCTACTACTGCCTATGAATTGCGATCATTACTTTGTGCACCCGTCTTCCTGCATTTCAAACAAATGAGACTATCCTTAACGATGAATTTCCGCGTATTTATGGTAATGTATTTGCGATTTACAACACTTTATATTTTTTGCTTGACATTTTATTATTTTGACGCAACAATCCCACCTTTTTTTGTATTTCAGCATCATTTGTTCGTGTTTACATAATAGACAAAATTGCTAGTGCCAATTGGAGGGTAAAACAATTCATAAATAGTTTTTAGATGCTGTCTTATCTAGAAAGAGTAGCTGTACTGTACACGTGTAGAGTGATTTCTTGACATGATTCCATAGAAGATAAACCAATAGGTATATTATTAAAATATAAATAAAATGTACCATTGATTTGATTTTTTTTTTATTACTTAATTAAGGAAAAAGATCACATGCCTAAATATTAAAAAAAAAAAAAAAAAAAAAAGGAACCTGAACGTGGATTCGAACTTTCGCCGTTCTCTTCGTCTGGTCACCATTTAACTGTAATACATATTTGGCTACATCGTTCATAGACGAAGACGTGAATACTAACTGTTTAACCCAAGAAACAACTGTCGCAGTTTAAGAAACTCGCTCACCCCTGTTTTTCATAATTTTGAGCACTTTCCCAAAGAAGTACCACTTTTCCAGAATACGATTTGGTTTTGTAAGTCTGGGAAACCCCATCACTTTCATAGATATAGTGAATATGGCTATATTTGCAGTATCCTTTTAACAATACCTAATATCTCAGCAGTTCAAAAAATCATATTCAATTGGTTTCATATCTATTCTATGCATTTTCGCTGCTAACAATTATTTATTCATTATTATAATTTTTCTATATATTTTTTTTTATTTTTTTTATTGGATTAGCACATGACATGTGACAAATTAGAAAAACATGTTTAGCATGCTTTACAATTTGTACGGACTGGGTGTTTCTAAAAATAACCATATTTGAATATCCCACCAATCGTAAGTAATATAGTTATTATTGTTAACTTGTTACTTCATTTAAATCTAATAAGTTTATGTTTCAATGAATTCATTAGGATATGAAGCCCTAACAGAAATTGTTGATTTATATACAAGTGATGGTTAAAAAATAATAAAACAATTGTCGCACGTTGAGTTCGGTCAATACATGATTTTATCGCACTGACAAAGACTAACAATATCGACCTCGGACTTCGTCCTCAGGTCGATATTGTTATTCTTGGTCAGTGCGATAAAATCATGTATCGACCTCATCAACATGCACTAATTGTATAATATTTTTTTCCGTTTCCATAAATGCCAACTTAGGGAAATATGGGCAGTTTTCCGCCATAGCTCTTTATCTGTCTATGAACAACTGCGTTGATTAATAGGCATATACGTTTATTATTATCATTAAAATCTTTATTTTGATGATAGGGCGTATTCCTATTGATTTTATGAGATATTTAGATTTGTTTATGTATGATAACCTACCTGCGATAACTGGAGTGAGACGTTAATGTCGCACCTGCCTGGTTCCCGAGTACGTGGACTGTGGTTCTGGTGTGATATACTGAAAGAGGCCAGCTTAGAACGCGTGTAGATTAACTCATTATGATTATTAGTTTAAACATATTTTATTGTACAAACATACAAATGGATCGGACAACAATTTAATAGAGTCCTCTGCTCAATAAATATGGTAAAAATAGTGTATATGTTTTTGGGGAAAGGGGAAAAGATAGGTTGGGGAAAGAAAGGTGGGGTGATGGAGGGTTTCATTATTTTGCCTGATTTATTTGTTACATTGATTCTGTTCATTTTGAAATTACTCTACCCGGATGTATGTCATGGAATTTGTACAATTTATAATTTATTCAAATGCGGATTGATTTCCCGGTTTACACTTTTACTTTTCGTGTTACCTCGAAAAGTAAACGTGTAAACCGGGAAATCAATCCGCATTTGAATAAATTATAAATTGTACAAATTCCATGACATACATCCGGGTAGAGTAATTTCAAAATGAACAGAATCAATGTAACAAATAAATCAGGCAAAATAATGAAACGCAATTTCATAAACACATATAACAACTCACAAATAAATAACAAAAGTACCGCGGGGCGGAACAATATACGCCCGTTGAATGCCATATAGAGTCATATACTTTCTTACATTGAAATAAGATCTGCATCATTCAAAGAGTGGTTAGCTGACATGCTATAAAAATGTAGGAGAAAATCTCGGGATAAAAAAATCAAATACTGAAATGAACAAAGGGCAATAACTTGTGCAAAAATCGTCGAATCAAAATTCTTTTCAAGGAAATACAACAACATATCATGAGTATTTAGCCTACTAAGTTTCAAAGAAATCTGTCAAAAAATGCCGGACAAAAATCAAATACTGAAATAAACAAAGGGCATTAACTTTTGCAAATATTCTTGATTCAAAATTATCTTAAGGTAGACACAAATTCATATCATGGTTATACTGCATACCAAGTTTCAAAGAGATCGGTCGAAAAGTGTAGGAGGAGATTGCCGGACAAACAAAAGTTTACGCCAGGCGGACGGACGGACAACGCCATACCATAATACATACTCCCGTCAAATTTGACGGGCGTATAAAAATAGAAAAGCAATTATAACCATCAAAACCTATTGCTGGATTTTATGTAATGATACACATGTCTAAAAGTTGACTATAACCAAACAAAAGTAGTTCTAAATTAAAATCAGCATGAAAGGCATTCAAATTTTGGAGCAGGGTGTGTCTTTCGTTGTTAAAAAGTAAACACTCACAAAAAAAGTGAAAGGCATTTTCACAGGGATGGCCACAATAACAAACTTGACTATCAACCATATTTACTCTAAAAAGATCATATTTAAGTGGACTACACTGTTGTCTAAGTTTAGTGTGCAAAATGTTCAATTTACGTTCACCGAAACTGAAGTAGATTGGTGGAGGAAAATGTACATTTGAAGTTAACGAGTTGATCGTACTGAAAGGTCCAATGAATTGCAACCTCGAAGAGTTAAAGGTATAAAAGATGAATTTGCTAGAGAAAGCCTGAAAGGACGAATTCTATAATCATAATTGTTTCTAAGGGTGTAACGGTTATTTTCTGCAACGGAAGATGGCAATAGAGAATTAAGATAGTCCGGAATTAATTTGTTGTGCATTTTATACAAAAGTTGGAGTTTTCTGCGCTTTCTTCTATTCAAAAAGTAAGTCTTCAATTCGGGCATATGAAGGAAGACCAGTTATCATTATTATATACATATATAACGTGTTTACCTCTTCCAAATATTTTGTTAAGGATAAGTAGTTAAATGAATTAACAAATTTTAAAAAATAAATTTCAAAGAACAAGAGAAAGTTGCGTCGCATGTTTTTACATGACTAAAACTGACCGTTTGTTTTTGACAAATACGGCCCCTTCTAGCCGCTGGTCAACCAAAACAATGCCGGTTTGTCACACTCTCTTACTTGACTGCCACTTGGTTGGTCAACATGTGACGTCATCGAACAAGTGTTAGTCGCTAAAACAGCGTATCAGTTGTATAATTTTTAATTCCATACTGGAAGGTAGAATTGACGATATGAAACTATGAATGGTTACGAAATACCTAGCTATTCTTCTTAGCAGCTAACATGTTTTGACTAATAGTGTTTGAGGAACAAACTGGGTTTTGTTTTACATCCGATATCAGGGTTACTTAGGTAGACAATCTCCAGGATAGCAATATGGAACACGAGTGTGAGACCGAGGAGCAGGAGGAATATACCGCTATTTATACTGTATCCAGGAGAACTCGCACGAGGAGTAAATGTAGACGAACAAAAAGTGGAAGAAATGAGAAAACACAGTCGGAGAAAAATCGTAATGCTTGTCCAGACGAAATTTTACCACCAGTTATGTTTTCACCGCGTAATCAAAAATTATCTTCGAAAATGAAGTCGAAATTTGACATAACAAAAGAAAAACTGCAAAATCTACATACGGTTTTTTTCCCGATTCCGCGCAATAGAGTTTTTCTAGGGAAATGTTCAGATGATGACGACTCAAGTGGATATCGAGTGTCCGAAAGTGTCCTATCCGTCCTCAAAACCGTCCGAATATGGAAGTTAAGGAAGACTGGCAGACAGGTATGTTTTCCCTTTCCGTATTCTACATTTCTTTCCTTCTTTCTCTCACTATTCTCAATACTATTTGGTACTCATACCCTTAAATTTGTCAAACTAGAAAAAATTGATGAACCATCGAAAAACGAACCATGTCGACGAATATAGTCCCTGCTGATGAAGCTGTCAAGTGCAAGTACCTTTGTGACTAGCTGTTTTATCCATGTATAGAAAGTGTGTAGATATGCTCCAGTATAGAAGAAAACATTAATTTAAGTGCACACCAAACTCGGTGCGCAGATTTTTTAAAGAGACGTCCTGACTGTGTCTGTCCCATCAAAATAATTGTTAAATGAGACAGTCAGTTATTTCGGACTACCCAGACATTTCATTGAACTTAGAAACCGAAGTGCCCGGTCACACGAGGTCCCATATGTACTCTGATTGTGACTTAACCTGTTGTTGTATTTTAGGGATACGACAAATTCCGACGAACGGCGGAGTTCGTCAGCTTCGCACGGAAGATGTGTGCACGGTAACACTTTTAAGATTTATCAACAGTATGATATTAGTTTACATGTACATCAACGATAATTGCGTAAACATTTTGTATATGATAAGTTGTAACAAGCCCTGACATATCTGAATGTATATCAACTATTGCCGATAAACTATTGCTAAAATGTATCGAGGAGGGATGATCCTATGGATCAACGATTATTGTGTTTGTCAACGCTGGATATTAAATTTATTCGTACATTTATCGGGAATAATTGTGGTTTTTTTCACTTAAGCATTGTGAATACTGAAAACAAAACTTTTTATGATATCGTAGTTTGTGTTACATTTCAGTTATGACTGCACGTGTAACTTCTTTTAATTGTAATCGATATATCGTACATAGCCTGGACTATTATGCGACAAAGTTAATTATCTATCATTTCAGCCAGCCAGATAAAACATTGAGTCCGGAGGAAAGCATTCTGTTTTTCCTCAACACGAGTTCCCGCCGTCGACCAGACACACCGAACTCGCCCGACCCCCGGACCCTATTTGATGTCACTCCATTCAAGGCTTTGGGACAAGTAAGAACGGATATAACTACAGTTGTATAGCTATTGTGATTATAAGAATACAGGGATTATCTATAGTCCAGGTAGTGTTAAAGGAGACGTAGACAACATAGGGTTTGTTTACATGATTTTTTAGGATATTAGGGGTATATGATAAACATCATACTGATAATCTTCTCTTTTTTTCTTTTTTTTTCAGAAAACTTTTGTAAACACTTTACGAAACTGTCTCGGAATCCCCCCGGAATTGCGGACAAGTGATGACATCACAGCGGTCAGTCATCAATAGACCTGTACCTCGCTAGTCTTGACTCTTCTTTTGTCCACGAAATTTTATTACAATACGGAATAATGATAGTATACTTTTTAAATGGCCTATGGTTTGAAGGTTCAAACAATGTTGATTCACAAATATGTATCATTTAGGTATCAATCTTCATCAACAGGTGTAGATGAATTAGGGTCAGATAAACGCTGACACTGGTAAAAGAATCCCTGATACTGATAAGAGAATTAAGGAATTTTAATATTCATTTTTGAGCATCTCCGGATCTGAATACCAACAGGGTATAGCCAAAAGTAAACTTCGTTGTATCCGATAGCCTCAATAATATCAAACGAATATGATCCCTATTCGGCGTTTTTTCTTTGTAGATGACTCGCATGCTAGGGAAATTCAGCATATTTTGCAGTTACCCGAAACAGGTGCAACAAGGAATATGTCGTCAAGGCTGGTACTCCAGGTACGTTAACCCCCGACCCCGGGCTACTCCACGTATGTTAGTCCCCGACCCCGGGCTACTCCACGTATGTTAACCCCCGACCCCGGTCTACTCCTCGTATGTAAACCCTCGACCCCGGGCTACTCCATGTATGTTAACCCCCGACCCCGGGTTACTCCACGTGTGTTAAACCCTAACCCCGGGGTTACTCCACGTATGTTAACCCCCCGACCCCGGGGTTACTCCACGTACGTATGTTAACCCCCGACCCCGGGTTACTCCACGTGTGTTAAACCCCAACCCCGGGGTTACTCCACGTATGTTAACCCCCCGACCAAGGGGGTTACTCCACGTATGTATGTTAACCCCCGACCCCGGGCTACTCCACGTGTGTTAAACACCGACCACAGTTTACTACACGCATGTTTACCCCGAAAATGGTAACACGTAGTCATCCGGAATTCGTGCACATTTTATAACGATCATTAATAATATCCATGAAAAAGAAATGTTCAAGTTATGAAAGTTCAGTGAGTTGCACTTTAAAATTAAGATACATTTTTGTATAAGTAAGTGCTTAAACTCTGTCACCAATCAACAAAGTTAGTATGTTGTTCTGTAGAACTTGGATATACGTGTCAAAGGTCAACTTAATAATTATGGTTTTCAGGTTCGACAAGGCTACAATTTTGGCAAGGGAGGGAAGTCGGGCTGATTTCTACTACCTTGTAGTTTCTGGAGTAGGTAAGTACCTTTTTAGAAGAAATCTTTAATCGGAATATTTTTGTATTGTATTCTGTAGATTAATCTGTATTTATTCACTTTAAGCGTGTGCTTAATTAATGGGTCAAAAATATGATACACGAGCTTTTATCGAGCTTTTATGCGAACATAAATGTCACGTGAAATATTTATATCATAATAGTCTAAATAACAAATTAAAGAAAGGAACATATACGGATGTGTGAAGTCTTGCTGTAACATGTTTTAGCCGTGTCCCGTTGCCTTGACTACGAGGAAGATGCTGTTGCTAAGAGATCTCATTTTGTCGAGTTCCACAGACAAGGGGACGTAATTGGGGTAATTATTCGTGAATTTCATTTATCTTTTCTCCTAATTAGAAATGATATGATTAATACAGCACCAGTGATTTACAATATGTTCTGCACTTTGGGTTATAAATGTTATATTCCACTGTATATTTGCTGTATAGCGGGAGCTTTATTGTCCCTATGTTCACGGTCTGAGTATCATCAGTGTGTTTAAAACCACACGAACTATCAACAATAATAATATCGCAAGCTATATACACAAAATATCTACACGATGTAGTTTGGTCTTTTTATTCACCATCATAAAGTTGTGACGCCCTTAAAAGAAATCATGATACGGCATGGTGACATGATTTGTAGTCAAGTTTGATTGCTAATGCAAAGCCAGGTAGAAAGTAGGGACACATAAGTGATCCATTCGGAAATGATTACTCGAGACTTCTTCCCAGGTCCGAAGGTCAAAAATCAATGTCACTGGTACTCTATAAATTCGTTTCCGAGCAATATCTCAAGTTTATGTTAGCCTTTTAACATTGAAATATAAGCATTGTTTTATTTTACGACTAGTGGTTGCTTTGAATTTCTTTCGGGTCCGTAGGTGAAAAATCAATGTTACTTTTAATACAGATGAAAATTTTGATTCCGCACATTTTTTTAACTTGGTCGATAACACTCAAACTTCGTGCATCATTTTCTTGGGATATCGCTTTCATGGGATTGTTTGTTAGAAGGCCATTATAGAAATCTGGTTTCCTTGCAATAACTTAACTTCCCGCTGACCGATAACACTCGAACTTGTTACACTGCTTCCTTACGGAAAGTGTTTGCATGAGATTGCTTCATGATCCGAAGGTCAAAGGTCAAGGTCACTTTTACTATAAACGGTATCCCAAGTTGGCCGACAACATTCAAAAACAACTTCGTACACTGCCTCCTTACCGAGTGCCAAATTGTGAGCGTTTTTAAGGTGCAGATGCCAAAGGTAATTGCCACAGTTTCTATAAAAAGAGCGTTACATTCTGCACCACACAGAATGTATAAACTACAAACCCAGTTAAACACGGATCGGGGGGATAAGTGTTTCTCCGTTATACCTTGTTTGAAAATGAAGTAATATAGATCTATTTACAACAACAGGAGAAGGAAATACTGACCGATTCGGAGCGACCGATGACCATCGTATGTAAGGAGGCTATAGAGGTCATCGGACTAGACAGGGACGTAAGTTGATTCAAACCATTTTTCAAATTTCTTTGTTTGAGACTTCTTATTTCTCGTGTCGGTACCAGATGTCTGATATTAAACTCATAATATCGTGAGAATGCAACCCATTTTTCAATTGAAAGTGCTTAACGTCTAGCTATGACGTCACGTGCTGAACATGATCATAAAGTTGTAGTAATATGGGTCCAAGCATAATTGGGGTTTCACGTCTGTTCCTTCCTCTTGTGGGATGTTACGAGTTTACGACGAAAGACCCGGAGTCTGACGAACCATCATTCAACACGTGTAATTCAGCAGCACATGTTTAACCTACGGGTTCTCACTGTATGTTACTTAACTAAAGGATAGTAGTACCTTAAGTAAACCTAGTACAAATACATTATTACTGCAAACAATTACAAAATGATGGTACTCCAAACGAACCATATTAACTATATCAACAGGGGACAACACTGAAGAGTCCACATTTGAGCTCCTTTTCCCATTAATGCTTGCTCTGTTCTTTATAAATCTACATGCTTGGACACGCCCACTACATTTTGATTATTTGACCTATTACTATTTTTCGAATTCAATAAGGTGATTAGATAACGAGGCATGCAGTGTTTTAAAAGTAACAAGCACTTGTCAGTTCCTACATGTTTCACACAGGCCACTAACAGTAACATGGTCGTATGGGTGTTATTTTCGTTGACAGGAGTTGCTGGCCTTGTTCCAGTCCTCTGGTGCACCCCAATGTATCAATCTTTTGACGTAAGTGAAGGTTAGAAACACTACTAGGAGATAGTTTATTTCCCGAGTAAACATGTATTGCACATTTGAATCAATTTGGTAACTTTTTATATATATAACCGAAGTTTCGGTTCGGATGTAAACAAGTTTTCAACAATTTATTTTACATCACTATATTTCAGTACTGTACCCGACCTTTCCGGATTTCCGTTTCAACTTTTACAGACGTACCATTTCTCCTGCTCCGTACATCACTACAGGTAACAAGTCGTTCTAATCGTCAAAGTATATTTATTAGTATTATAACATATATTAGTATTTTGTTAACCATATAATTAGGGTTATATCATATAAAAGTTTAATTTGCATAATAATGCAGTGTTTTCCACGAGGACGAGTTATACTAGCTACAAATTCAAACACAGACAATATCGCACTGATTCGCTGTGATGATTTAGGATGGGTGATCGTCTGTCATTATTGTTGTTGTTGCTGCTGAGTTGATATTGTTTTGTATGTTCAGAAGGGGCGCCGTCATTGTGAAGGACAGCAACGAATCAGAGTGGATCTACGTCGTCAAATCGGTAAACGTACCTAATCTGATAAATCGTATCACTAAGTTCAAATATGTTAATAGCATTTACACTATAATGCATTACTGAAGTCAATTTCTACAGATGTATATAAACGATAAAAAAGCATTATTCGCTGTATTTACAAATGTATAGTTATTCAACTAAAACAATAATAAAGCTAAAAACAAAACAAATTAAAAAGTCTACGGTAGAGTTCGGGGCCTATCCACTGTCGACTCAACACTTTTCCAGTGTTGTTTTCCAGAAAATATATAAATGCAAAGCATCGAAATGAAAGTTGATAACTTTTCATGGGAAGTAAGTCTTAGCCAGAATAATTTAAGGTAGAATGTCTGCTCCAGTTGGTGAAAACAAGAAGCAGAAAACAAAAGGCAGCGCTAAAGTGATTATAACTGGTCCACATTTTTTTAATTTTCATTTTGAGGTTTTAAAAATGGTTCTATTATTTTATTGAAAGATCATTGCAATGATAAAAAAATGTTTTGCTCCTGTTTTGTGTAGGGTTCCTGCCAGGTATACGAGTCTGTTACGCGGCGAACACCAGAGAGGACGGCATTAATGGCGTCAAACAAAGTGTGCAGGTCATCTCTAGATAGCGGTCTGCCAGACATCACCAAAACCACAAATCTAGGTACGTATACCTGCCATAATACAAGCGACACATATGTATCCGTATGGAATATTTTCCTTAACAATATTCCATCTTGTAGGACAGTCACATTTCCATTAAACCTAGTCCCTATTGTACTTCTCCAGGTTTCTTCTTGGCAATATTTCTGTGTTTTACTTCTTTGACGTACACGTGTTCCCAAGTTGTTTTTATTTCTCCCGCAACCCTTATATGTTTCCTCCCTCTCGACCCATTGGATTTATCCCGCAACCCTTATATGTATCCTCCCTCTCGACCCATTGGATTTCTCTAGCAACCCTTATATGTTTCCTCCCTGTCGACCCATTGGATTTCTCCCGCAACTCTTATATGTTTCCTCCCTCTAGACCCATTGGATTTCTCCCGCAACCCTAATATGTGTCCTCCCTCTCGACCCATTCGATTTCTCCCGCAACCCTTATATGTTTCCTCTCTCTCGACCCATTGGATTTCTCCCGCAACACTTATATGTTTCCTCCCTCTCGACCCAATGGATTTCTCCCGCAAACCTTATATATGTCCTCCCTCTCGACCCATTGGATTTATTAGATTTGAAAATTAACCAACGAGAGTAAGATAAACATGATAACCAGCCTACACTCGTTGGGGAACCTTTATTTCCTTATGTTTCCTCCCTCTCGACCCATTTGATTTCTCCCGCAACCCTTATATGTTTCTTCCCTCTCGACCCATTGGATTTATTAGATTTGAAAATTAACCAACGAGAGGAAGATAAACATGATAACCAGCCTACACTCGTTGGGGAACCTTTATTTCCTTATGTTTCCTCCCTCTCGACCCATTTGATTTCTCCCGCAACCCTTATATGTGTCCTCACTCTCGACCCATTGGATTTCTCCCGCAACTCTTATATGTTTCCTCCCTCTCGACCCATTTGATTTCTCCCGCAACCCTTATATGTTTCTTCCCTCTCGACCCATTGGATTTATTAGATTTGAAAAATAACCAACGAGAGTAAGATAAACATGATAACCAGCCTACACTCGTTGGGGAACCTTTATTTCCTTATGTTTCCTCCCTCTCGACCCATTTGATTTCTCCCGCAACCCTTATATGTATACTCCCTCTCGACCCATTGGATTTCTCCAGCAACCGTTATATGTATCCTCCCTCTCGACCCATTGGATTTCCCCCGCAACCCTTATATGTTTCCTCCCTCTCGCCCCATTGGATTTCTCCCGCAACCCTATATGTTTCCTCCCTCTCGACCCATTAGATTTATTAGATTTGAAAATTAACCAACGAGAGGAAGATAAACATGATAACCAGCCTACACTCGTTGGGGAACCTTTATTTCCTTATGTTTCCTCCCTCTCGACCCATTAGATTTATTAGATTTGAAAATTAACCAACGAGAGGAAGATAAACATGATAACCAGCCTACACTCGTTGGGGAACCTTTATTTCCTTATGTTTCCTCCCTCTCGACCCATTAGATTTATTAGATTTGAAAATTAACCAACGAGAGGAAGATAAACATGATAACCAGCCTACACTCGTTGGGGAACCTTTATTTCCTTATGTTTCCTCCCTCTCGACCCATTTGATTTCTCCCGCAACCCTTATATGTATCATCCCTCTCGACCCATTGGATTTCTCTAGCAACCCTTATATGTTTCCTCCCTCCCGACCCATTGGATTTCCCCCGCAACCCTTATATGTTTCCTCCCTCCCGACCCATTGGATTTCCCCCGCAACCCTTATATGTTTCCTCCCTCCCGACCCATTGGATTTCCCCCGCAACCCTTATATGTTTCCTCCCTCCCGACCCATTGGATTTCCCCCGCAACCCTTATATGTTTCCTCCCTATCGACCCATTTGATTTCTACCGCAACCCTTATATGTTTCCTCCCTCCCGACCCATTGGATTTCCCCCGCAACCCTTATATGTTTCCTCCCTCTCAACCTATCGGATTTCTCCCGCAACCCTTATATGGTTCCTCACTCTCGACCCATTGGATTTCTCCAGCAACCCTTATATGTATCCTCCCTCTCGACCCATTGGATTTCTCCCGCAACCCTTATATGTTTCCTCCCTCTCGACCCATTGGATTTATTAGATTTGAAAATTAACCAACGAGAGTAAGATAAACATGATAACCAGCCTACACTCGTTGGGGAACCTTTATTTCCTTACTGTTGTCGTTATGGTTAGATGCTAAATACCTATACATACCCACCACTATTGTGTATTAGTTTCCATCAACTGATCTCAATCTTCAATCACATGTTTATTAGAAGCTATTATAACGCTCCACTCTCCGTTATGTAGTCGATGTGTCTAGCGATTTATGTTATCAAATGGAAATGTTATAAACAGTAAAGAATTGCTTCGTGTTAAAGTTCCTTAGAATTTGAGAACGTTCTTAATTCTTAAAAGCAGATGAAGAGGATATGAAAATTAGAGAATACTCTTTAATGTTTTTTAAAACTGCACATGTTGCCTCTCTCACATAGTTCTTCTTGATTTTACGCTGAACATGCTTTATGGAAGTTCGTCATTCCTTGCTGACTGCTGTTTTTTTGTATTATCCCTCACTCAAACCCCCTCTAGCTCAGGCAGACTTCTCGGTTGACCCTTTACATTTACCATTTTAAGAAGTCATTTGGAGGGCCAACATAGAGGCTAAAAAAGTTTTCATTTCGAACCCAACAGTCAAATATTATGAGTGAAAATTTGCTCTCATGTTCTTGTAAAGAACAGCAGCGACCTGTCAATGGTCTACTGGAAGCCTTGGAGTGTCAGGGCTAGTAAAGGGCTATATGACTAGAAGCGTTTACTAAATTAGGATCAATGTCAGCGTCATCAACCGGTGTGATATCTTACTGGAGTGTCTTACTGTGATGTCTTAATGAGAGAGCTTACTGTTATATCTTACTGTGATGTCTTATGTTAATGTCTTACAGTGATGTCTTAATGAGATATCTTACTGTTATATCTTACTGTGATGTCTTATGTTAATGTCTTACAGTGATGTCTTTGTGAGATATCTTAATGTCATATCTTACTGTGATGTCTTATGTTAATGTCTTACACTGATGTCTTAATGAGATACCTTACTGTTATATCTTACTGTGATGTCTTATGTTAATGTCTTACAGTGATGTCTTAGTGAGATATCTTAATGTTATATCTTACTGTGATGTCTTATGTTAATGTCTTACAGTGATGTCTTAATGAGATATCTTACTGTTATATCTTACTGTGATGTCTTATGTTAATGTCTTACAGTGATGTCTTAATGAGATATCTTACTGTGTATCTCATTGTAATGTCTTACAGTGATGTCGTCATGAAATATCTTACTGTTATATCTTACTGTGATGTCTTATGTTAATGTCTTACAGTGATGTCTTAATGAGATATCTTACTGTTATATCTTACTGTGTATCTCATTGTAATGTCTTACAGTGATGTCGTTATGAAATATCTTACTGTTATATCTTACTATGATGTCTTATTGTAATGTTTTACGGTGATGCCTCACAGTGATGTCTTAATGAGATATCTTAATGTTATATCTTACTGTTATATTGTATTGTAATATCTTACTGTTATATCTTACTGTTATATCTTACTGTGATTTCTTAATGAGAGAGCTTACTGTTATATCTTACTGTGATGTCTTATTTTAATGTCTTACAGTGATGTCTTAATGAGAGAGCTTACTGTTATATCTTACTGTGATGTCTTATTTTAATGTCTTACAGTGATGTCTTAATGAGATAGCTTACTGTTATATCTTACTGTGATGTCTTATTTTAATGTCTTACAGTGATGTCTTAATGAGA